AATACTATATATATATATATATATATATATAAGAATTGAAATGTGATTTTATTTTACAAAGTACTAGTCCACTAAAACACAGCCAAGACAGGTCACTTTGTAAAGACTAAAGGTCAGTTTTATATTATTGGATATGGTAACATGAGTGCACATGTACTGCATCATTGTAACTTCTGTATTGTTAACTAGGCATGGCTGAAAGATCAATATAATGAATATATATAAATGTATAATATTATGAGATTTAGGTTATTTAGGCTAAACATTTGTGTTTTCATGTTATACTTTATAGTCATTCTAGATAGAAAAAAAGACATAATTTATATTTATTTTCTAATTTGTTATGGTTGTTACGAGATCTGTCAAATCAACTGAACCCATACAGAGATTTGTTAGTGATAATAACAGATAAAATATAAAGTTTTTTCTTAAGAAATATTTGATAACTATCTGGATGTTATAAAAATTTTGCATGTGAAACTCAAAATTTTTCTGATGCATAAAAGTATTTTTAATCTTAAAATAAAAAATTTTAAAAACGGGCATATTTATTACCAATGCTATAGTTCTTTTCTAAATATAATTATGAATAGTTAAAACTATTTATCTTTAATTTGAAATGTTTGTGTTTAACTGTTTCTGTTTTCATGTAATGTTACTAGAATTAGAAATATAAGCTTTGACATCAGACTCCAGTTAAGCTAATCATTTACAGAATATATTAATATTATTTTAACTTTGTTTGACTTATTTAGGTTACTTTAGGACTATATTGTCAATACTGATTAATCCAAAGTGTCATGTTATTATAGTGGAATTCTCTCCTTTCATGTAATAATACCAAAAATTTGGTTAAAATATTACACAGCTAACCTTTGAAGAAAAGTTACATTATTAAAAATTATAAAAAAAACATCAATGCAGATGATATAGAGAAGTTACTTGTTAACACAATAATACTTTAATACGAATAGACTTTCTTGTTTTATTCTTATTTATTCCCTGATGGTTTTCAAACTTTATAATATAAAGCTGTAACTATTCAAAGTTTTACTGTACAGAGCAAGTAAGGAATACATGTCAGGCTTATATTTTAATAAATAGATTATATATAGTGTACTTCTAACATGTTGCTTGTATAAAACCATCATGTGTTATATCAACTTGCTTTTTAATGTTATCCTACTTTGATCAACAACTTGATGCTGCACCTATAAAACATGAGCATGGAGGTCAGAGCATTTGCTGTGTGATTGAAAGGTCACAGGATCAAACCTGTTGACACTAAACATGCTCACTTTTTGAGCTGTAAAGGCATTATAATAAATTCTTATGTAACTTGCTCAAACTTGATGTATGCACAAATGACATTGGGACAGTTTGTTTGTTATTCATTCATTGGAACTTATGAATGAAAGTAAAAATGAATGTATAATAATATGTCAACCACACACTCTGCTATATTCTGTTCTGAAAAGGGCTTTTTCACATTACCAGGGCTCTGTTTTGGTGAATTAGATTAAGTTGGTGAAATGTAATTTTTATCAGTTTTAATTAAATCATTACACATTAGAATTAAGGTCGGGATTTATTGTTTATTTATTTTGACACTGAGTTTGGATATTTGTACAAAATGCTCTAGGGCTATCTATGGTAGATGTTACTATTATGAAATGTTAGGTTAGAAGGAAGGCAGCCAGTCAACAGCTACCATTGCCAACTCTTGGGCTATTTTTCTCTGAAGCATAATTTTATTTTACTTTCAATAAGGTAGAACAAACTATGGATCCCCAGACCTATAATCTGGCACAATATACACTGGGCTACATCCTGCCTACTTTAAAGAAGACTGGTTATATATAATTAACAAAATTGCAAGTGTAAATAATCTACTTTTAGAAATGTTTTCTTAAAAGTATAGATTACTCAATCTTTAAGCCATTTTATTACAAGCTGATGAACTCAGATTGCATGTCCAAAATACAATGGAGTACAATGTAGGAAAATATATAGCATTGGAGGTCAACAGTATCAGGGTGTACCAAGTTGCCCCTCTCCAGAAGGTTCTAAAAATATACAATACACCTGAGAAATTTCAGAATTGGTTGAAAACTAATGTCTTTACGAAAATGAAACTTGCTTATGCAATCAATCAACCTGTCTCTCTCTCTGTGATACAGAGTTTCTTTGTAATATTCTAGGGCTTAGAGACATGTTGTCTCCCTTAAACATAAGTAGGGGGGCCGGGCTATCTGGACTTCCTGTTCCTACTGCTATGAATAAATGAAACATAAAAATAGTGGGGTTATGCAGGAATTAATTTTTTTTATTAGTATTGAGACCACATTTTGTTACAACAGTATATTTAAATCATTTGGTGGCTGTTGGTTCTTGAAACTTTATAAAACAACATGTCGTATAGTTGTTTAAAAATGTTATTTCCGAATTAATTTTCTTACAATTTTATGCGATCAATTTTTCATGTTTACTGCAGTTGGGTATAACAAAATTAACATTACGTCAGTTGGTATTAAAAAAAGAACCAAAGTAAGTGGTAGGGGAGCTGTTGCTGTACACAGTGTAATGTTTGTGGAATATGTTTGTTCAGATATTAATATTATTTGCATGTTAAGATCCTGAGTTGCTTAAATGATTTGTCTTTCATAATGAATTATATTACAAATGAAATTCGTATTACAGTTTTTGTGCGAGTTTTAATGTAGTTACTATTACTGTTGGAGAGATAAATGGCAATTAATAATCTTAAAATAAAAATTTGTTTTGATAAAATGTTACTTATTTTGTAATTTAGTTTTGAGGATTTTTTTATTTTTGCTTGCAGAAATAAGTTTTACAACTAACACAATCCAAACCATGCTTTGTGCAAGGAATTGAAACATTGGATCTAAATTTCTTAATTCCATTGAACAATATATTTGATGCTCTATAGGTTGAATTGCAACCAAATTAACAAAAATCACGTGTTAAATTCTTGTTGTTTAAAATCTTGCTTATTAATGAATTACTGGTGTAATTTGTTGTAGGGTGACAAAGTATAACTCATGGCTGAAAGAAATATGATTCAGGTGACCTTATTTTGACAGTTCTCAGATTCAAGATGAAAGGTCATGGAGTTATGTATAATCATTTTTACACTATGAAAAGTGTTTATGTTAGCAAAACAGAAAGATTGCATTCATTTTGTGTAAACAAGTATTGCTTAACTATTTTAAAACAGCTCAAGAAAGATGGAATGCAAATTTTTTGGCAAGTGCATTTTGAAAGGCATAGACTATAAAGCTAGCATGACCACTGGTCATGTTTATAAACTGGTAAAGTAACTTGCTTGATGCTATGATGTATGCTGTTAATTTCAAGTGTTTTAAAATTCCATTGAAAATGTGTAAAGACATGAAGAGCAGTGTGTAAGTGGATAAGGTGTGACCTCTATGTACAGATTAACATTTTGTCACCTTGCTTATGTTCATATTTGTTTTCCAGACTAAATAAAGTCATTATCATAATTTTCCAATAACAATAACACAGAAGCATTGTTTGTAGTTTTGCTTTAATGAGTGTAAATTTCAGCACATTAATTATTTGTTTTACAGGAAAGTTTTAAGGAAGACCCACCTGGGGTGGCTCATTATGTTATTTCTATTGTACACAACTCTGCTTACTTCATACCCGATTTGCTGGAATACATGACTGAAAACTATCCTCAACTGGTGGTCAAAGCAGGTTCCTTAGCTCGCCACTCAGATATTGAAACGACCACTTTGTCCAAGTATCGAGAACAGGTTTGTCAGTGCTGATTCTTTTGTTATCATAATACCTTTGCTTTAGTTTTTGACCAGTATCAAATTAATTAGGCAGTAGCAAAAACAAATGTTGCTTCCCCATTTAGTCATTTCTCTCAAAATACAAAACCACTAAAAACCAAGAAGAACAAAAATGAAATTAAAGGGACATGATAGAAATCTTGTCTAAAAACAGTAGTGTGAAGAAAAATAAAGAAATTTGAAGTTGAGTGAAAATAGGTAGATGTTTCTAATCTGTAAGTGAAGTGACACAGTGACAACTTGGTAGAAATATGTAAATATGTTTTAATTTATTAATAAGTGAATCAAAGTTCTCATATGAAAACTATGTAGAGGTTTTGTCTTTAATCTTACGTTTTGTCAATTACCATTGAAAAACGAATACATGCATGAACTGTTGTGTATTTATGTGTAAATGTTACTGTAATTAATTTCTTATTTAGTTTGTCATTTTTCTTGTTAGGTCCATAAAACTTACAATAATGGCACTTTCCGTGCTGGACCTTTACATCAAATCAGCTTGGTTGGAACAGTTCACGAGGAGGTTGGTGGATATTTTCCAGAATTTCTTCAAATGTTGGAAAGCTGTCCTTTCCTACGATTGACCATGCCATGGGGTGAGATGTCTTCTATACAAATGGAATCACCTCAAGAGAGCAATGATGGCCCAATCTTATGGATCCGTCCAGGAGAGCAGTTGGTCCCAACAGCAGATATGACACCAAAATCTTCTGTTAAAAGAAAACGGTAGATTTTAATTACTAATAATTTGCTCCAGAAGTTTTAAATCATTAATTTTTAATGAAAACTATTACTCCAAACTAAAGCATCTACTTTTAACACGGTACAAGGTGAGAAAGTTTTCTATGCTAACAAATACATATTTTTTTTTTATTAAGAATTTGATATCAGTTCTTAGAAATAGTCTTTATTATTCTATAACAGTAGGGTTTTAATCTGTTTTTCGCTTTTGATGCAAAAGTTATTGTATCACGGTATGTTCCACTTTAGAATGAAACAACTAACTTGGATGCTAAAGCTATTGTATTGCAGTATGTTCTGTCTTAAATTTTAGCAGCTGACTTAGATGTGTTTTGTGTTTCAGGAGTGAGTTACAAAACCTTCAGTACTTACCTCGCTCTTCAGAGCCAAGAGAAATCATGTTTGAAGACCGGACTAAGTGTCATGCTGACCAGGTTGGCCAAGGTTTTGACAGGTTTACTACTGCTGCTGTAGGCCTTTTGAAGGCTGTCCATTGTGGTCATGAGTGAGTATCTGCATGTTATCTACTTGTACTAATGTTATAGAGCAGGATGTGTAACTAATTTATAAATGACTGAAATCAATTTTCCTAAGATTGAGTAAAGATGTGGACTGACATTGTTAAGCCAAAAAAAAAGGCAACAAATGAAGCATACCTTGTTAATTTTGCCCATATAGGCACCAAAATACTTAACTTGGGTTTAAAAGTGGTTAATAGTTTAATGGCGTAATTTTTTTAACTATTCAGTGATTATAAGATCATATCTTCATCTGTGAGATACTTGGGTTTGAAAAATTCTTCAGTCTGGGCTTGGTGTTTTTCCCTCTTCCTGTTCTTTGCCAAAGGTATCTTTTCTGCTTTGGGGATGATGGCTTCCTTAAACAAAGTTGTTCCCTTGGAGCACACTTACATGCAACACCTTCAATAAGACCTTGCTTCTCAGTGGTGTCTGTCTTTAGACCCTTTGTTACACAGTATATCATTTCTTCTGTCATTCTCAAGCTGTTCTATCAAGAGTTTACAACAGCAGGATCTCCTTTTCTTCTTTATCCTATAGATCTTTCTCTTTTCACAGATGTCTCTCTCTCTTGTGGTATTTCTGGTTCATAGACTCCTCAGGAAGCAAAAGTTCAAATCAACATTTTAGAACTTTGGGCTGTTTAGCATTCTTGTATCATGTTGTTTATACCCTTTCTAAATAACATTCTGCATCAGTTCACACAGACAATTCTACATCAGTAAAAGTGGTACATGTTCTTGGAGCCTTTCCTTTACTGTAGTTTATCTACTTCTTTGGCCACATTCTCAACTTGTTCACCTTCAAGCTTGTCACATTTCTCGTGTGATGAAAATTTTGGGTAATTCTCTTTCTTCAGATTGTTGGCTTTTCCCCACAATGTGGGCCTTCTGCCTCTTTTTTTTTTCACTGTCTGTTTTTATTTATTATAGGTTGGTATTCCTTTGTTTTACATTTATTAACATTAGGTTATCGATAAATAGTTTTAACAATTTTATTTTTCCTACAATGTTCTATATTTTTAAAATGTTGGTAGACATCTGACATGCTAATACTTGCTCTCTGTCAGTCACTCTAGGCTGTATTCCATAGTTGGTGTATTAGACAATGTATATGGTTTACCTTTGACTCCTCATTGTATTGTTTCTTTCCTTATGTATCCTTTTTTCATGAATGTGGCTTACCAGTCTCTTCACAGCTGGTTACAGATCTGCCTTTTCTGACACTTTCAGATGCCATGGAAGTCATTAATCTTTGTTGTCCATATTGTTCAAAGACCTCTTCTGAACCTTTTATCTTCAGTGATCCCAAGTTCGTAGACATTATCCTATATGGGACCTGGGTTTTGTCTTGCATATTTTAGCTTTACCCCTTTTTGGACACTTATTTTCTTTTATTTCTTGCATCTAGTTGAATATGTTCTGATATCTATGCCCTCAGTGCTTCATGTACTTTTTTTTTACTTGGAAGGCCTTATACTTTCAAGATTATAATTTTTCTACACATGAAAATGTATTTCTGACAGGGATTTGCTTCCTCTCACAGACATAGCTAGCGTCAGGGTCCGCACAAACTTCTTCTCCCGATATTGTACATACTTGTTGTTAGTTTAGGGTTTTTATATGAGATCTTAGTGATATACCTTGCCTTGCACAGTTTGATTAGGCTTAACAAGTGTCTTTGTTATTTTTGGTTTACCTGTCGTTCATCTTATAAGCAAATCAGTAATTAGGTTCAATATCATGTTTTCTTCAACACATAACATGTAATACATACATTTATTTCACTACACACTTACTTGAGTTTACATTATATTGACTATTTCATTTTCATAATTCTTTATAATTTATTCTTCTTAAAATTAATTTAGCTTGTGAGGACCACTGGGGCCGGGTTCCTCTCTACATTCTTCCGATATTACTGCTCACCTTCATTTTACAACTGCCAAACCTGTTTGGGATGATCTGGATTTTATCAGTTTTCCTCTACCTGTTTATGGCTTGCCTTCCCAGGCTTCTACTGTGGAATCTGTTTAACCTACCTCAGCCTTTTTTAGACATGTTACACAGTATAATATCCCCCACCTTCTCCAGACATTATGCTTCATGATGAGCATTTTTGTCTCTCTTATGGGAGAGGGTACTTGCATGCCTTGCCCTACACAAGTTTTGATTAATTTTGCCTCATCAGGCAGTTTATTTTTTTATTATTCTATGTACTTGGAATTCCTGTCACCTGTATGGAGTAGTCATAGCATGCTCATCTACTTCTTACACAAGCTGCTTGGGTGGTTGGATTTTCCAGTTGAATAAACTTTTCCTGTTACCTTCCTAACAATCTCGTCTATTTGGGGAGTGTCTTTTTAAACATTCACTTCCATCTGGACCATCCATTTTCTTCCTTGAATGCATTCGATGGATCTTTATGTTATCCATGCCATTTCAGTAAACTATCTTACTGTTAACAAGGTTCTGATGTATTGGGGGATGTGGCTTCTATAGAAGCACTTCTCCCTTTGGGTCTGGCACATTTCTATCTCTACATGGTCTCTTGCTAGGATTCATTTGCATTCTTCTCATAACTTTCCTTTTTATCTCTTTGACTATATGCATTGGTTGTTGACAATAAATGCCATGTCGTTGGGTTTACTGCAACCTCCCCCTTGTCCAAATTTGTTTCTCATTCCTGATGCTCATCTCCAAAGTTGGGAGGTGTGGGTTGATCAGCAGGAGACTTCAGGACAATGGTCTATGGTCTTAAGAAAGGTCTTACCACGTTAACACCCTGGTACTTCTGGCAGTCTGACATGCTGTGGTTCGCTTTCTTCTTCCTGTCTGGATTTGACTAATCATGTTCCATTCCGACTATTTGACAGTGGTGGCTTATATCACTCACCAAGGGGGCACTCATTATTGTTCTCTTTGGTAGACAATGGATCTCCCTTTTTGAACCCACACACTTGACATACATTTTCTTCCATGTCGTGTTCCAGGTGCTTTCGTCCTCATTGCAGATTGCCATTCCAGTTCTGACACAGTTTCTCCCAAGAAGTGGCCTCTTGATCCTCAAATTTTCAGTGGCTCTGCCTCCTGTAGCATACTTCTCCACAGCAAGCATTTGACTCCTTTCTCACTTCCAAGTTATCTCTTTTCTTTTTGATCTGTAGTCCATCATCCACTTGCCCTGGTTGTCAATATGCTCAGACAGGATCCAGTTTATAACATTAGTTTTTCTTATTTTGTCAGTCTTTTGCTCAAGGTGATTTAAGTGTAATAATAATAATAATTATTTTTAAATCATTCAGTGACCTTTTTTTATTTGAGCAGTCATATTCTGCATTACAAATCTTAACAAAATTATGTTTGCATTGTTATATATATTTTTAAATTCTGTTTGCATTGTTATATTTAATTTTAAGTGCCCATAATGGAAAATACTTTATAACTGTTATTTTAAGTTCCATTTTAAATAAAAGAAAGAAAAAGTTAAATTTGTAGAGACATGCTCATGTCACTCTTGTTTAACTTTATACTTTGTGGAAGGGATCAACACATGGGGGAAAAGATTATAAGCAATGTCACAGCTTTTAGCTGCTATTTCTTCACATCATTTCATGTAACCAGAGTAGAATTAGAATTATCAAGCTAAAAATTCTGTTTTTCATGCTGAACTTCTGCAAATTTGACTTTCAAATTAAAATTTTAAAGAAAATCTCTCTCTCTCTCTCACTCACACACACACACACACACACACACACACACACACACATATATATATATGACAATGTTGCCATTCACATTATTAAGACTAAAGTGTTTTGTAATTCTTTATAGCTGTTCTTATACATTAAAGGTAATGTGAAGCATGTATTTTTCCTTTTCTGTTATAGATTGAAAATGTTAAAGTTTTGGGCCTATTCCTGTAAAATTATGTTATAATCTTGCTATTTATGTTTAAATGTGTACTTAGAAAAAATATACACTATTCATTGGTTTTTGGAATTTCCTTTTGATTTTTAAGTCAATGTGTATAGTGAAAAAGAGCCTTAATTTAAAGAAATAGGGAAGAAAGTATAATTATTAAAATGGTTCCACTTAGAACTAAGAAGATTAAAACAGATTTATTTAAAGTATTGTATTTTAAATGTTTATTGAGGTACTAAAGTATTCAAAGAAGTATTTCTTAACTAAGTAATATGTTTGGAAATTAATTTACTTATATTAAAGTTTCTCTGTGGGTCAGTGGTATATTTTTGGACTTGTAATGATAAAATCTGGGATTTGATTCTCCTCAGTAGATAGAGCACAGATAACCCATTGTATAGTTTGACAACAACTTGTACTAAAATAGTCAAAGCAGTATTTATTATTTATGTAATAAATACAGCTAAAATAATCTGCACACAGAAAACATTTAAAAATTGAGAAACATTTGAAATATATATTAAATAATTTAAACACTGCTTTCACTACTTTAGTACTAAGGAAAAACTTTTAAAATGTTATATAACTAATGTTAACATTTTCCTTACCTGATAATGTATATTCGATAGATACTTGCTTCTTCACAAAGAAAGCTATCTTCCCTGTGCATCTGCCATAGAGATTTTGCATGCCACTAGCCTTGAGGTAACTCCCAACTAAACACACAATATTTCTCCTGAATTGCACTACTGCATAATGATGTTATTATGCTGTAAAAACCCACCAATAAGAAGGTGACACAACCCCCTACACACTAACTCCCTCTGTGCTTTTACACTCATGATTTTCATTCTTTTTCTTTAGCACTGAACTAATAATAATGTATATAGATGTGTTTTTGTTTTTTGTTTACAAGTTACCAAGATTTACAGTAGATTAAGGAAATTTATTTCCTTTACTTTCTTCAAAATATGAACTCTTAAGCTCATATAATTTCTTATATGAGTGAGAAATTTCTTTACACAAGTCAAATTTCAAACATGACTACTGGAGGTATGTTAAATGTGTATGGTGTGATGGCCATAGTGCATAAGGTAATGGGTCCCATTAAGTAGCTGTGAGTTTTGGCACCTATTCATACATCTGGTGTTCATTCCTCTCTTTCTGAATGGGAGAATGAAGAGGAAGATGAGTTTGGCCATTTGTTTTCTCCTCCTGGTAATGCCGTAGGAACCTCTCTTCCTGTTGAGAAGAATATTCAAACTTCCTCATATTATCAGAACCTTATAATTTAAATATGTTCTATCTCTTGTCCCTGTGTCATATGACCCTAATGAATTTTATGTTTTCTCCCTTTTCCTTATATTGGTATTTACAATACTTCTTTTTTTAAACTAACTACATCCTCCTTGCCTTTCTGATTCTTTTATCATGGACTACAATCAATTGAACTTCTCCTTTCTCGAGTCACAGACCTTAGAATCCCTCTTGCCTGTTTGAGAGCAGACCCTTTATTGCCAGTTTTGCTCTCCAGTGCTTGGTTGATTCTATCATTTTTGCCTGATCATCTTCTCTGTGCTTCAGTACATTTCCTCTCTACACCTCATGTCAGAGGCACACCACCAAGCTCTAGATGCCTTTGCTGGTGATTCCTGTTACCTCCTCTTTTCTACTATAGTCTGTATTACTACTTCTGCCCTTTCCTTGCTCACTTGGATCATTTGTTGTTGTGTAGGGATACCCTCTCTTCCCATGTTTGACTTCCTTCCTTCTTTTTACAGGACATCTACCTTGCCCCATTTCTTTACCCTTATGTTTTTGAAAGTATTCCTGATTTAAGTGAATCATGGGCAGAAGCTGTCTATTATCAAACCTTGATTACTCAACTGTCCCAAATCCCATCCCACTCCAGTACCTCATACTAATCTCTCTGCTTCCTGTATTTCCTTTCTCTCTTCCCATCCTTCCCCTTCTACTTGACCATCTTCTGCTCGATGTCAGTCTTGCTGGACTCCTTGCTGACTACCAAGTAGATTTGGATTTTTTTAGGCTTCTTTTTCGAGGTTTTCACATCTTTGGGGACAACTCTCCACAGACATATAGGTTACTCTTATCCTAACTCTTAGACTCTCCCTCTAATTGTTTTTCCCCTCTCAGCCCACATTTTCCTCCTCCTTCATATCCCACCTATCTTCGATGTCTGGAAGAAGTGGTGTGGATCTGTTAAACAGGCCATACAGAAGGTGTACAACCTTTCTCCGGGGTTTTATTTTCATTTCTTTGTGTTACCTAAAAAGACCGGGTACTGGCAGCCAATTATCAGCTTTTCATTCCGCAATTGGTTTATGGTCATCATTTTCATGTGGAAAATTTCTTTTCTCTCTGTTGGCTCTTTTCACCCAAACTATGGATGATCAAGATGCATTTATTCATATTCCCATTGCAGAGTCTTCAGGACATTTCCTTTGATTGATTCATCAGAATCATTTCTTCCAGTTCCAGGCTCTTCCATTTGGCATTGTTTTGGTCCCCTGTGTCTTCAACTGCATGGTCATGGGCTTTGCTCACCATGTGCATGGACTTGGTCTGCAATTCTGTTATTACATGAGCAATTGGCTTCTCTTGTCCCACTCACAGGAAGAGTCTTCCTTTCATATACTTCTTCTTCTGCGAGAAGTTGCCTGTTTGGGATGGCTTATAAAAACCTGTTATTACATGAGCAATTGGCTTCTCTTGTCCCACTCACAGGAAGAGTCTTCCTTTCATATACTTCTTCTTCTGCGAGAAGTTGCCTGTTTGGGATGGCTTATAAAAACCTCCATATTCTTTCTAACCGACACCAAATACATTGTTCATCTGGGAGTTTTCTTTAATATTTTTTCATTTAGGCCAACCTTTTGCTATCTGTCTGCAAGCTCTGGAACTTTGTGTTACCAGGATGCATGTTTGATTTTGTTGTTAAACCTCTACTCCCTTTGTCTAATTACGGCAGTAACAGAATCATGTGTTTTACTGTATAAGGTTATTTCCTGTATGAAACAAGAGATGATAATTTAATATTTGGGTTTATTATTAAACATCTATCTCTTTGTCTAGGTACAGCAGTAACAGAATCACCAAAGATGTTGTTGCTTTTCATGCTGGTGACTTTTCAGAATTAGTGAGAAAGTTACACGTAGATCTTCATGAGCCTCCAGTTTCACAAGTAAGGAAATTTATAAATTATTATTTTGTGTATTTAAAGAAAGGTATCCTACAAGCTTTATTAATGATGTAAAATGTAGATTTTAACTGTCAGGTTGCCACTTAAGATCATTAATTTTGTACAGCATCTCATTTTCACCAATTTAATGCCAAGCTTCCAATCAATTTAAAATCCCATGTGAATTTTCTCAAAATCCAAGTTCAGTTCTGAAATAGTTTTGAGCTACTGTTGATCTTCTTGAAGCATAGATAGACTACTTCTACAATTTGAGAAACATTTCTAGGGTTAGTCAGTGACATTAATGTCTCTAGCAATGCCAGCTAACCAATAAATGTTCCTTACTAGCTTAACCAAGTGTGAGTAGCTGGTTACAGTGCAAAAAATTTCCTTGAAACAAGTGTAATCTCTTGGAATTCTGCATCACTCTTTAAAAGTTAAAGCAAGGAAATATTTAAAACTATATGTGAAAATGTAAAGACATACAATTAAGTTTATAACCAAAAATTCTTTGAATATTATTTGACAAAAAATTAAATGGTATGTATATTTATCATGTGTCTTAATTTTAAACATTTCATTCAACCAAACGTTTATGATAATAGCTACAGTTAGTAATATGGTGGAGAAAGTGAAAAATAACATATAAATATTTACCTCAAACTATTCAGAGTCTGAGTGGAAATACTTAATTAAAATAATCTCATTCTCTGTGTACAAAAAACTTGTAATCTTTAACAAAATCTTACCAATTTTTATGAAAGTATCTTAAGAAAGGTCAGACTTATCATAAATATTGTTGCACTGTGTATCATTCTCCATACAAGCAAGTGCCAAATGGACATACCTGTAACTATTGTGATAATATATTGCCTATGAGCTTCGGTTACATTGATTAGTGTTGTGTGAAATAATCCACTAATTAAAATTGGTGTTTCCAGTTGTTACTGTTTTAGATTATTTCAATTATCTAAGTAACCAGAATATTGCCATTATGATTTATTATTGGTATTTTCAATTAATTGATGGTTCTTCAGCTTAATGTATTAATGTCCTGATTCATGACAATAATCAATTAATTAAAATTAGTGTTTTCAGTTATTCTAATTATCCAAGTTTCGTGTGAATAATCTATCAGTTGAATGTAATTAATTAATGAGCCTGACAATTAATCAGTAATCAAATTCCACAAACTGTTCAGCTATATTACATTCTACAAGATAAAAAGCTAAAGAAGAATTCTAAATAACCTAATACTTTAATTTATTATTGTTTTTCTATTCATTTTTACTCTATAAATATTTTTTTCAGTTAAAACCAAATAGTAGTTTAATGAAATTTAACTTCCATTAGTGTTAAGAATACTTAGTTTTAGTTTCTGTTTCCATATACATAAAAGCACTTCTTGGTCATAATTAGATATTGTAAACAATAGTTAAGTTCCTACAGTTCCATAAAACAATTTGATTCTATTTGTTAATCTCTAAGTACAGTTATCCTTGATGTTTATATGTAATGGGCTTAGATTTATAATTTATATGGGTGGGTAATAAGCTTACCTATATAAATTCCATCTTATATATATATATATATATATATATACATACGTACATAAACAAAAACTCTTTAAAGTATGGATTCAATTTAGTCTGTTTTTCGTGCCACGTCTGGTTACGTGTGCATATAGTTTATTAAACTTAATAGATCACAACCTTCCATCAAATTAACAAAATATAGTATTTGGTATACTACAGCTTCTGAAATGATATCCTTATCTCTTTGCTTACAGTAGCTATTCCTTGTGCATGCCACTAGCCTTGAGCTATCTTCCACCTAAAACATATTTTAACGTTAACTGTGTTGGTGCTCAATGTAATCATCATGCAACAATAGCCCTCCTCCAATGGGAGGGCAATATATTCTCCATGTGCAGTAGATCTATGTAAGCACTCACACTCAAAATTAACTTCATTATTTTCTTCAGCACCATCATGAATGTACATGTTTAGTGAAGCTTAAACTTTATTCAGTATAGTGAGATTTGTGCTGCCTGTATTCCATTGTTAGCTGTCATTCATTTTAGTTGATTTAATTTAAAATTTTATTTCAACTTATATCACCTTCCAATTATTGCACACAAAAGAAAAGATTGATCTGAAGAATTCTTTTAATAGCACTCAATCCTCAAGTGATGATGACTAATACCTTTTCCTGAGGCTCTGATGATGTCACTAACACTGACCCTACTTTGTCTGTGTCCACTAGTGGCTAATTAACTGTGGAGGACATTACTGTAATTGTTCAAAATGTTGTGGGTTCATTAATGCCTTCATTGCTTCATCTCCCGGTCCTTACATCAGAAGCATCTTCCCCTTTTTCTGAACCTGACCACAAGGATGACAATTATGATCAGCTCGTACTAAGGTCCTCTTCACCTATAGAGGAGGATAAACTTCCTCCAAATCTCTTTGTGAGTTTAATTTCTCAGATTTGTATTTTACTTGCTCTTTCACTTAATGAATAGTATGTTTTGATTCTTCCTGTTTCTTATTATGTGCCTCCTATGCTGAGGATTATTTGGGTTTTTCCTCCTTCTCCAAACAAACGAGTACATACTGCTGCATTTTTGGATCAGTTTTGTTCACATTCTGAAATTCATCATCCTTCTGAACTCCAGGATTCCTTTGCTATGGCTTATAGCTGCTCTTGTTCCTTTTCCATTCTTGGATTTCTTCCTGGAGCCTCTATTACCTGCTTGGGGTGAGGATGGGGGGAGGTAACCTCCTATCTCCAGCAACATTCCCAGCTCATACACCTTTCTACATATTCCTATTGCCCAGTCCGCCATTTCTTCCCTGAGATCTGGTGTACCAGTTTCAAGCTCTCCCTTTTGTTTCAGCTCTTTATACATTCAACCAAGTCATGGGAGCATTTGCTTACTACATTCACAATCTTGGACTTTGTTTCCATTATTACATGAATGACTAATTCCTTACATCTTCTATGGAGGCCTCTTTATCAGCCACATCACTTCACCATGAAACTGCTCATCTGAGTTGGTTGGTCAAAGCTTTCAAGTAAATTCTCATTCAAACCAAATACTTGATTCATTTTTGAAGTTTTTTTCACTTCTTGATTCTGTCAGGCTCAGCCTTTCCCTATTTATCTGTGAGACATGAGAGGTTCTTTATCTCCTGGAGACTTTCACATCTCTCAAATATATTGCTCCTTTAGATCACATTCACGTGTGACTTCTTCAAAAGCTTTGATGACCAATAGAATATTTCCCATGATCCTCTGTTGTCTGCTATGATTCTGCTACCTTCTCTTCTCAAGATCTGTTTTGGTAGCTGTATTGTGCTACTAACATTATGGTTGGCAATCTACTGCCGCCCCTACATTCATATCTCCGTGGCTTCAGGGGTTTGGTTTCATGTGGAGGGTAGTTTCCACATCAATGTTCTGGAATTCTTGACCACCCATCAAGCATGATCCTATTTCCACTTGTTCATCAATTGGTTATGGTCCACTCAGACAATTTTATGGTCATTTCCCATATTGGTCATCAAGATGAGACTTGTTTCAGGGACCTTTGCTTTCGCATGTTGAACTTTCTGTTTCGGGCTTACTCACATCAGGTTCATCTATCTGCTTAACACATACCAGTGGTTTTGAACTTAGTAGCAGGTCATCTCTCTTGACCTGACAGGATTCTTTTTACAGAGTAATCACTCCATTGTCAGGTCTTTCACTGTTCCTTGTTGGGCACTCTAATGATCATTGTCTTTGACACTCCTTTCAATTCTAACCTACTCTTCTTTTGGTCCCCAGTACCTCATCCAACTGCTGTGGCTGTGGATGCCCTCAGTCAGGACTAGTTTCATCTCTTTCTGAGAGTGTCACCCATTTGTGTTCACATGTGAGATTTTTCTGATCCCTTGCTCGTTGTTCAGGTTCCTCCAACCTAGTAGACCTTCTTTTTTCCCTTTTGTGTGATATTTATGCATTGGGTGCCCTC